ATTGTTGGATGTTCAGAGCAGATTGTGTACATTATTCTGAGACACCGGGATCACTTGTTTGTTCTGGCGATTCGTGTAATCGATGCGCTTCTTCGGGAAACACTTAAAGTTTTTCATTAATTTTTCACGCGAACCATGACATGATCCGTTCCGTGGATATCATCCACCTCAGCCATTAATGTGATATCGAGAGCACAAATCGTCTATCTTGCAGGGTCCTGCACATAAGCAATTTGATTGGCCGTCCTACCGTAGTTCGAGTACCATGTTTATAGATCTGTGTTTATGGATTTTCTATTTTTTGCGATGCTGGAACCGTATGTTCTTTACAATCTGCCTGTTTTTGACGAGATGGAGTGGCCGCTCGTAATTACTCTACGTGTGCCTGGATATAGGCTGCACTGGGGGTCTGATTTCTTGTATTGTTTTCATCAGTTTATCTTCTCATTTCAATCGCATGTAGCTGCGATCAAGTCATTCTGCAATACTGTCCATTGCAGTTTGTCTAAGGGCATAAAACTCACCTTCTCGGCATATCTTACATCCATCGTAGGCCGCAATGATGAATATGTTAAATGCAGTTTCTTGCAAGTACGAGTAAGATATTAGTTGACTGGCAGCCAAGAAAATACCAGCTTGCGAGTTATCCTTGGAGCTACTCTAGCATCGAGAGTATTGCTGGTGAGACGGGAATTTTCACCCATCTTGATCCAGGCTTTTCTCCAACGATCATCATTTTTTTATGGTACCATGGGTCTATTTTGGTCTTTTTTACTGAAGTAGTCAGGGTGGTATAGTCAGTGAAATGATGTACTCTAATTCGAAAGACTACGGATTTTAGTCCCGTTCAGATCACTCGTCTTTATTCTTTCTGAGGGAGATAATTAAGTGAGAGCCAGTACGTGCGAAGAAAATTGAAGACTATATGCGGTAGCCATGAAGTTGTACGCACTACCTTCAGATAATGCTGCAGTCACGTTTGAATGGGATCAGCGTCACGCAGTATACTCCATACGGAATGGCGCTGCAACTACTGGTCACATTAGGAAATGAAGGGAATTATGCGGAAGACCGGCATCCCAGTGGTTACAGAATTTTTACCCTTTATTGACTGTTGTGGCGAATTGTGTTTCAGACGCATTATCGTTTTCTATTTCAGACTGCAAACGAAGAGTTCATTAACTTCACTAACGACGCGTTGAAAATGCAGCGGTTCAGTCCGTTTCGATTTGAACTCACTCAGCTTGTCGTAAGTTGTTTTTCTTTTCTAGTGCATTTGAGTATTTAGAAAATACTACTTGAATTCTTCACCGCGAGAAACTTCGTTCTGTTTCACTCTGTATGGAAATGCTGTGTACAGTTTGTCGAATGTTTTGGTCCCATTAGATCAGTTATCAATGGCTACAACGAACACAGATTACAGACCCGAATAATCAGCGAACGATCGATGATTTGAATATTATGTTTAAGTTTTTAAGTCATGGTCTGCAACTCATGACCAGTGGTAATCATTAGGAATGGAGACTAAGTTGAACTCATACTGCTTAACGTTGAGACGCAGCTCTGCCTTTGCCACAAATGTTCAGACAAGTTGACGAATAACGACATTCGAATTCCCCAGTCGACCTCTTCCATTCCCTATCACCTGTAAACACGGCCCCGAGGTATTTGAACCTTTCAATCTGTCCCACTCTTTCTCATTCTATTCGACTCGTTTGTTAATTCGACAAAGTAAACATCTTCATCTTCATCTTCCATCGCCGCTTCTCCTTTCGGGTCGCGGAGGCAGACGCGTCAGACAG